ACACACACACACACACACACACACACACACACACACACACACACACACACAGAAGTGAACTTACTACGACCCAAGTGCGCCACTGTGATTCCCGTTTAAGAAGCAGAGCTGCCTAAGCAAATTTCCAATGACTTCCTGGCACTCACATGGTCATGTAAACACACATAAATACACTACACCAACACCCCCCTCCTCCTTCTTTACTCTCACACACACAATGCTATATTTAGCCAAGTTAATGACAGGACGTACATTTAGTCCTGCAGCAGAGCAACTAAGACTGTGAGAGCACATTTTTTTTTCAGGATGAGGTACTCACCACTGAAACGCTCTTGCGCAAAGATAGAACATTTGATGGGAAACTTTTGCCATTTCCATGGGCAAAAAAATATGTTATGCATTTTTCTACTTTTTTTTCTTTTTACAGCAGCAGATACAGACTGTTTTAGTTCTAATTTAATTTGTGTATAATGACTTGAGGGGATTTCATCAAGTGAAGCGCACATAAAGAGTTCTGTTGTATCTCAGTCTCGGGGGTTCGCCCCAGTGAGACACTTGAGATGTCAGATGGACTGACTGCAGACAAAGAAAAAGCCACGGAGACAGGATGAAAAGAGTGACAGCCAGAAGGACCAAGACGGAAAAGCAAATGATATTTAAACAGCGAGATAGTGGAGGAGATATGTCAGGAGAGGAGAAAGGAGATGGAGACAGAAAAGGAAACAGAACAGAGAGAGTTAGAGGGGTGGAGAGAATGACTCATCCTACTGTTGAGAGTACATATCTCCTCTCCTCCTCCTCCTCCTCTCTCGCTCTCTCTCTCGCTTTCTCGAGCCGAGGCTATCTGCACCTGGGTCCCACACTTGCGGCGCCAGCCATCCCATAATTACCCTCAAATGGCTGTTGCCACATCAGTGACGCACGGGAAGGCTGGCCTGACTGTGAAGCTCTGCATGCTTCAGAGTGCTAGTCACCTTTCCTAAACTGGCTCTCCCAACTGCACTGTGTATGTCTGTGTGTGTGTGCGAGTGTGTGCGCGAATGCAGCTAGCATTTGTCAAAATGTTGTGACTTTCTCTGTCGCTGGCTCGGCCGCTGCATTGTTGGCCAGGACATCGCATCACGGCTTGTGCGCTGGGGTTTGAAAGATGCCTGATTGTGAATTTTGGAGGAATGGATGACGGAATAAATGAGGTCATGCAGAATCGTAAGAGCTCAGTGAGCCTTAAGTTGTTGTCTGTCTGTGTTTGGACAAAAGAGCAAAAGAGGTGATCTCAGGGTGAATAAAGCTGATTTTCTGCCAAATTCCATTATGTCACAGAGCCGTTTAATGTTATCAGCAAAGCCTGCAGGTTAGTCACGACAGGATGCTTTTGAGTTTTTTTTTTTTTTTTTGTAGTGGCGCTTTGAAATGTTACCACAAAAAGTGGACAGAGAAGTCTGCATGAGAAAAAAAAGATGCCGTCACCACACATCTTCACGGGTCGAGCAGGTCAGCCTACCAACATTAATGTTGCAGTGCCGTCGCTCCGTTGACGAAATACTGAACTGCCAGCAACAAGCCACTTGAACTTGCAATGGACCGCAGCTTTACAGCTCTGAATGCGCGAACATGCATGGACGGACACATGCACACGCACGAAGAAAAAAAGAAAAAAGCTGTGCAACACCCCCCTCCCTCCCCTCTTCCCCTCTGCCCATATACACAGTGACTCATCGCTCTGCAGCCATATAGCTATCAGAGGGACGCGACTAACTTCAACTTCTCTCACTGGCTGTCTGCTCTCATTCATCGACTGTAACCCAGCTAACCCAGAGGTCATGATTGAAGAATGTTACTGTTCAAAAGTCTCCATGAAAAAGGCCCTTTGGAGAGCCGGATTGGGGGGGGGTGGAGGGGATCAGTGGACGCTTACAGAAAAGAGAGTGACGCAAGGGCAAAGAGGCGACAAACAGTTTTGCAAGCATGGATTTTGTGTATCTTCCTGAACTATATCTGGCACTGGGAGATGCAGGCATTTAGATGTGTGTGTGTGTGTGTGTGTGTGTGTGTGTGTGTGTGTGTGTGTGTGTGTGTGTGTGTAGGTGTGTAGGTGTGTGTGTGTGGGAGCAGGTTCAAAGCATACTACTTCATGGATGTAAGTGAATGAAATCTTGCTGGACACGCCATTTATCCTGCAGCATTGCTATGATGTAATTTATTAATAAATGATGAGTAATAAATGCATTCTAAGATATAGACCACAGAAGGTATGATTTTCTCATTCAGCAGCCTCGTCTCGCAGCTCTGCCAAACTACCACCCACCACATTCACACATGCTTGCCTGTGCACAAGCATGCAAAACAAACACACAACGCTGCATACAAAGAGACACATCGAGAGTGAAATAGGGAGACAGACAGAGAGGGCGAAAATCTGGGAAGCTAAGCAGTCTGCCTCCACAAGTACAGAACCTCCTACTCTATCTGTGCCCACATTGATATCTGCACACATGGCCTGTGTGTGTATCAGCTGCTGCTGTCTTCGCTCTGTGTTTTCACTGGCATGTGCCACTACACTAGATGTTTGAGAGCATTCAAATAAATCTGTATAGCTGAGATCAGTGTTAAGGACTGAGAGCAATTCGAGAATCGTGACAGGTGAATCTGAAGCTGCAGCAGGACTTAGAATCCTCACCTTTTGTCATCAGTGAAGACAAACTTGCGTAATTTCAGGTCACCCAGCACAATGCCTGCCTGGTGGCAGTGGGCTACAGCCAGGGCCACCTGACGGAAGAGCCTGCAGGCATGTCCCTCGTCTAGTCGGCGACAGCTCTTTACCAAAGTGTGCATGTCCCCAAAGTCTTTATCCAGGAACACGTAGGCCTTGCGCTCACCGAGGATGATGTCCCTGATGCCGGCCACATTCTTGTGTGCTGGTAGAATACCATAGGCTCTGATCTTTTCCTGGTATACCCCCATATCAAAGACCTGGAAGAAAGATGGGAGGAAAAGGAGGGATGCAGGATGGAAATTAGAAAGATGGGTAAGGAGGAGAAGAGAGAGAGTGAGTGTGAGGAGGAGGAGGAGGAGGAGGCAATAGGTCAGTGTGTTCTTAATGATCATCTAAGTAAACAACCATGAAAATTTGGCAGCGACATAAAAAAGGCTTGGGATATGCTTTGATTCCAGCTCAATACATTGCTTTTGCAAGCGCGTGACAAATGAATCATCAAAGCGTGAAGCGATTAACTTTATTAATCAACAAAGCCAAACGCCTGCAGGTCTATCGTGCAAAATAAACAGGGATCTGGAACAGTGGAGGACCCTGTCCTTATCGGGAAAGATCCTTATCACGAGAGCCTTTTTGCCTCACATGTTTGCATTTTTGTGTGTCACAGCGTGGCGTACTGCGGTGACGTGTATGCAAATGAGCCCAGTTGACAGACACAGTGCGAAGCACCGGTGCCAAGGATTGGTGGGCTTCAGTATGATAGGCTGAATTTCCACAATACAAAACAGGCAACACAGGGTTTGGCTGCTCTTTCACGACGTGTAAAAATGAAAGGATCCTTATCAGGTTCAGACATTTAAAAAAATAAAATAAAAAAATATATACAATGAAGTAAGACTTTTATTACGGAAATCGTGACACATTTCGCGTGAGAATGACATCTGGTGAAAAAGTCAGCCAAATACGGATGACATGTCAGACAGGGTATTGGGCAATGGGATGTCTTGAAACATCCTTCATTCAAAGAAATTGCACAATGACTGGATTGCGCATACCTTACACAGTAGTTCATTGCCAGTATCGGTGTTCATCGCGCTGTGCATGCATTCCCGGTCCGCCAGAGGTAGAAGTAGATACGATCCTATGCTGGACGGTCCCTGGTGAGTCGGTGGGACAGAGGTTAAGCCGGGGCTGACCGGGGATCCGGGAGAGGTGCCGAGGAGTCCCTGCGTGTCCCCAGCCTCGGCGCTCAGCCGGGCGCATTTGGCCGGCGGCTGATCGTCTGAATCAAGCCGCTTGTGCGCGAGTCTCCCCGCGCGGATGCAAGGTGCCCGGCTGCTCCACTGCAAGTTCATCCTGATAGGCCGATTCACCATGAAAGCAAAAAAAAAAAAAAGAAGCGAGGTCCGTTCCGTCTGCTTTTAGATGCTCCCTTTGACGGTTAAAAGAAGCTACAAACTGTGCTCTCCATTTCTCCGTAGAAGACTCAGCACTGGTGACACATAAAAGAAACTTCAGCGGATTTTGGTAATAATCCAAATCGACGTCCTTCTGTAGAGTGAGTGCTCGTGGCTTCTGAGGTCTGTGTACTTTTGGTGAGAGGAAAAAAAATCCGATCCCTCATAGCCCAGAGTCAGTGTTTGTTAGAGAGAGAGAAGAGAGAGAGAGGAAAAAAGAGAGAGGACACAGAGAGAAAGAGAGACCGCCTCACACTCAAAGAGTGGCTGAGAGTGAGTGAGCTCCAGTGATGTTGAGCTCTGAGCTCAAACACTCCGCCCGACCAGTCCAGCCTCCTGGTGACACAACCATTGAGCAATCCTGCTCAGCGCGGCTCTGATGACACTACCCACTGTATTAGCTTTCTCAGACGACTGCGTGAGCATATGCTTCAAACATTATTTATTTATTTTTCCTAACCAGTGTGTCATGAATCTTCAAATTCCCCCATAAGAGTTTTTTTGCTGATACCAAAGGAACTTGAGGAGCTGATGAGAGGAGTGAAGAAATCATCTGTTACTTATCAGCTGCCTCATCAAGCATGCACATGTTTTAGGCAATAATTAACAATCCTTGAAGTACCTTGTCTGACTCAGTTGTTCCTTAGTGTTCGGCTCTTATTGCCCTTTATTGCCAGTTGTAACATTTTCTCCACAGACCTCTGCGTGGCACCGGAACTGTTTGCTCTCTAAACGCTGGGCTTCAGGTGTGAACCAGCCCATACAAAAAGCTTCAGTGTGCTAGCTTGAACTCTGGCTTTAACAACACCATGATATTTTCCCATGCTGGGTCTGTGGATATGACTCACCCCCGTAAAGCTGTAGTTTTGTTGGGCTATAAGAACTCACAGAAAAATATGCCAGCTTGGTTCTGTAAACAACATCATAGCAGCCGGGCTAAGGTGAAACCACTTGTACATCAAGCACCCCTACCAAAGGAGCCAAATGCTGTGCAATTCTTTATGAGAATTATGCAATGATAGGAATCAAGCGAACGATGGACCGTCAAAAATTCAAGGGTGAAGTGCAGGATATAGTTTGAAAAACATTCCTGTGATGAGCGCTGAGACGAGTCGTGTTGGGCAATTATAAATGTGCATGTTTGTGTGCGTTTGTCGGGGTGTGTGCACACATGTGACCATGTGCGTGTTGCGCAAGAGTTCGCTTTTTCCACTGCTTTATGTTGAATGAGCACAGTGGCTGCAGCAGAGGCTCACTGAGCATTCACTGAAAACACAGAGCAGCAGCTGGCCTGTGTGCGCGTGTGCACCGTCAAACCTCTTTAGTGCGGCCAATCCTGCCAATCAGAAGCAGGCCGTTCCCAGTCATTTCTTTTCACATCTCTAACACGGTTCCTTCCACAACATGTCACACACTTAACCGGGTCACAGCGGTTGGGCACAGCTTGATTCAAAAAGGTCATGCAAACCTGTTTCTGCAGGCTGTCCAAACATGGATGAGCTGCAGATTCCATAGGAATGATGGCTGTTATTTTTAGGCCTTGCATTCTTTCTTTGCGCAGTGGTCGTCCTACGAAAAAGGTGACTCACTCAACTGATTGATGCATGCGTGTCTCTGTGAGCAAGTGTCTTTGTCATGCTGCTGAGCAGGCACGGGAACAGGTTTCCTCTCTCTCTGCCTTCCCTCTTTTTCTTTTTAAGAAGTCGAACAAACAGGATGAGCAGTCACTGTGGGAATGGGAGGCAGAGGTACTGAAGGTTTATTGTTATGTGACATCAAAGTGATTATGTGTGTTTGGAGTCTGTTTGTGCGTGACACGGTGTTTAGGAGGATACTGGAAAAGCTGACTTATTTGTGTTGGCTGTGATTAAAGAAAGCTTGTGTGCGCATGTAAGGTCACATTTTGTATCAGTGTAACTGAGAGTTCACGCTGGAATCACATCACGCAAAGTCACATCAAGATATGTGGGCTGTGGACTACACAATATAGATTTTATTGCCGAACAGCAGGTTGTAGCAGTATATATAGCCGGTCAGCCAGTGTGTGCCTCATGGTGTGTGTGGGTATGTGCATGTATACAGTGCCTGAGTAGGAGTGTTACTGAGTAGCCAGTGAGCTAGAAGTGAAAACAGTATTCAGGGCATGATCTTCCTTGTTATAATTAGCTGAGTCACTCACCACTGGCAGCAATAAAGAGAGACTGGGAATTGATCTGCTCTGAGAATAGTTCAAGTCTGATCTGGCTGACATCCAGGCATCACTGTGGGTTACTTTTCATTCATGCTCATTTTTACCAACGTACACAGACACATGCAATTAACAGAGCTGCAGATGTGAGACAGTAACTCAAGTTAGATGTATAGTCACCAGAATCAGCTCAGCCTGCTTTAGGCTACCTCTTTCTGTTGATACTTTAGATGCTTTATAATAATTAAAAAAACTGTTAAATCTTCCACATGTTATCAGTTTCTGTGTTAAACATGATGAGTAAACAGTGAGAATGCTTCTTTCATGTGTGTTTTTTTTTTAAAGTTTAGTTTAGTTTTGTAATATGTTAAAAAAGATTAAAGATTTGTTTTTATTTAGAACTGTTTTTTCTTTCTTTTTTTGACCCAAAAAAGCGTTACACATTGCACTTTACTCGCATCTATAGCCAAATTAGAATCACCAGTTGACCTAACATGTATTTCTCTGGACTGTGTGAGGAAACCAGAATACCTGGGGGTAACCTACACTAACACAAGGACAGCATGCAAACTCCACACAGAAAGGCCCTGCAGCCAGGATCTGAATGAAGAACCTCTGCGCTATGTGTTACCCACTGCACCAGTGAATGCTAGCGTCTATTGACATAACCTGACTTCATGCAATTGATGGAGAAACATCTGTTTTCTATCTTGATGGTAACACCACAGAAATTGTCCCGTTATCGCACGTTTGTTGAGTTCAATTAAGTAATTTCGCATTAATCTTTTTTATTCGGTTTTTTCGGAGACAGGTGTGAGCATGTTTGGCCATGTCTCACAAGCAAACGCATACTTGGTTAGCCAGGTGCACCCGTAGAGTCCATTCATGCATTGCAGAGAAACAAACAAACTTCGACTGAACATTCACCGAAGCACTGTTACTAAACTTGACACAAAACTATTCACATCCTTTTCAGTTAATTACATGAAAACTGCTCCAAAAGCATCCCGACAGTGAAAAAATGGGAGCTCCAGATCAGTCAAGCTAGCAGGCTAGCAAACAGCTAGTGACTGGATAAGCACCCACTTAAAAGGCGATACACCGCTTTTTGCAAAGCTTTACGATTGAAAAATATTTTGAATCTTCTATGCATATTTATCTAATGTAAAGCCCCAAACCTTTTTTCCCAGCATGTTTATTTCAACTGTAAAGTTTGACATTTTGAGACAGGAACTGACCCAAATGTGAAACTTTCACTTTTAATTTTGATTTTTTTTTCATCTGTTGTTGGTAGTATGCATTTATTTGCTAACATTGTTAAAATTATTATCCTTGTTAAGTATTAGTCAAATAATTTTAGTGACTGCACCTCAAATCTTAAACTCCTCCCCCCAAAAACTCTTCTGCCGCAAAGGAAAGCTGATCTTTATTTCTCTGACAAAGTAACAGCTTCACAAACTTCATGATATCAGTTAAGTATAATTACAGCTGAACTTGGATCCTATTCTTGTAAATCTGGAAGAAGCAGAAGGAAGTAGGGACATTATATGAGTCTTTTCACAAGCCCATCATTTCCACTGTTGGTATCATGCAGCCTGTTTTCTTTTATGACATTTGCAAAGTAGAATTTGTTTTCTCCAAATGTCTGGTTGTCTGCCATTACCATTGTTTCTCTGGCCAGCTGACAGTTTGCTATGAATGCTGAATTAGAGTGTGGGAGATAGAAGTGGGCCAATGGATTTTAAACTGCATGCTTATAATAAAAAATTATTGCCTTTCTATTCTGTCAAGATAAAAATTCTGCCTAAAAGCATGCAGTACTCCTTTTTTCTAGTGTATATTCTCACATAAACGCCCATATTGTGAACTGCATGAACTCAAGTGTTGAGGTCCCAACCAAATTAGCCATCAATCCGCAATAATCATTCCTACTGAATATGCTCTATATTTTTACAACCTAGACTGACCTCAAGGACAATCAATCAAACCAGGAGCTGAGATGGAGATTGTTTCATGTGGAAGGACTCCAGACTGTAGTCTGGCCAAACATTTCTGCAGTCCTTGTTAGTTATCCCAATCTGTCCATCACGTTTTCTTTGATCCTTTGGGCTGAGACACGGTAGGTTAGCTTAGACTCACTGGCTCCTTGGCAGCACAGATATTTGTGCTATTCAATCCCAGGTTAGGTTTCATGCATCCTTTTAATTTTTACAATATTTTCAGCTCAGGTTTTATAGCATTAATTGTTTTTACGTTGGAACACACCCCTACACATTGTTCCCCTGTGATTGAAAACATTTGTTCTCACAGAGGGGAGGTGTCATATTTGCACATACTCAGCACAAAGACTTCCCCAAAGGTCTACTGAGAAGCTGTAAAGTTAAGCTGAAAAATTAAATTCTTCATCTGCTGTCCACAGAGCGTTCACACGAAGTGCTATCTAATGTTAATATGTCTTTTGTGGCTGACAGTTCTTGTAAATGAATGACTGGCAAAGCAAAACTACATGCTTTGTCATCTTTATTGTGGTTCAGAAGGCAGGAAGTTCCGTTAAATGTTTTTTCTTTGTATATTTTATAATATTAAGAGCCTGAGTTGAAGGCATCTGGGTTTTATTTATAGGTTTTTGAAGACCTCGCAAATGAAGGTGCTTCCTCAGTTTTACCAGCTGATGGGGAGTCCCAGGATTTAACCCTGTGTTCTGAGAGTCACCAACCATGTCCTCATCTGAGTTGTTAGGGTTGCAAGAGCCAAGGTGTGACTTCTTTTTGAAAATTTGATAGTCTGATAAAAAGATCACCTCCAAGGTGACAGATCCATGAGAGGTATTCTCTATCAGTCTTCAGAACTAAAGAAGACTCTCAGATGAGAAAACAAACGTCTTCAAGTTCAGTGGCCTTCAAGTCAAGCACTCAAGACTGCCATGATCTTCCTGACTGAGAACCTATAATATTTTTCTTCTTCACATTTCCAACCAAATAGTACTGATATGTTGTCCCAAAGCACTCATAACCTGCACAAACTAAGGGGGAGCAAGTCATTGTTTTAGTTTCCAATTTATTTTACATTCAGAGGAGTTAATTGCAGTAAGTGCAAGACCTGTTATCAAGATGGATGCGTAACCCTCCTGAACAGAAGCTATAAACATATTTAGAAGAAT